AATTCCCTTTTTTCCAAAGCCAATGAACGCCAACCAGTTAAAAGAAGGTACAGAAGGCGATGGGAAGTGAAACGAAATGAAAAAGAAAGAAGAAAGAGGAGTTTAGCTCAGTTAAGTAGGTAGGGAGATAGTAGGTATGTTTTAGATAATGGATGAAGTGGTCCCATAATATAAGGGACCAAGGCTGGAGACTTCGTGGCGGGTTTGGCATGGTAGATTTTCATGGTGTCTTATGTGGACTCAGGAGATCACCGGAAGAAAGCCATTCAAATCCACACCGCATTAACTAGCAACAGCCCGTTCAGGCATCGACAATGGCATTGACATCGACATGGATATCGAGTCATGATGGTTTGCCAGCGCCTGCTTCTGCTGCTGCTGCTGATTCTCTTGTTGATATACGAGGTGGCGCTCGCTCCCATCCGAAACACCATCTAACCCAAATTCTCGGTCATCCAGCTGCTTCTCGTTCGCACGGTCAAATTCTAACGCGTTGGCCAGCTCACTAGAAATCGGGTCCAGTTCTTCTTCTGGTAGGCCGGTCGCAAGAGAGACGAGCTTACGGTGAACGTCAAGTTTCGTGCTCACGCCGGCATCCGCTTTTTGCTGAATGAGCTCTTTAATAGCTTGTTGACGGGCTTGTTGGGCTTCGAAGAGTTGGCTGGCAACCTGGTACAAGAGATTGAGGTCTTGGGGACTCTTCATCTTGTTGTCATTGTTGCTGCTGGCGTTGCTGTTCGAGCTCGAGCTTTCTCCGTTGACGTTTATCTGAGCCTGGGACTCAGGGTCGACACTAGCATTTCGCAACCGTTTGAGGAGATGGAGCCGTTGAACCTGTTCTAGGAGTGACTCGTAGTCCCGCCTTACTTTGTTGAAACGTTCTAGTTTGACTTCAAGCTCTTCGGCCTCGATCTCCTTTGAAGTTAGAGATGCTGCTTGCTTCCGAATATTTTCCCGATCGGACTCCACATGTTCATATAGGCCTTGAGGGTTGCCAATATCTTCAGAGCCATGGGGAGGCCATTTTGTATCACCATAAGCTAAGGCTAGTTTCCTGCTAGCTTCATCCACTATGGATCCTATTTTTGATAGAAGTGATGCGGTGGCTTCGGAGCTAGTGGGGGGTCGATAAAGAGCTGTGTTGTCTGAAACGTTATTCAATTCGGCGTGGTCTGTGCCAGTCGCACTGTTGTGGGTCACTGAGGACGGCGGAGGTGGATTATCTTTATGGCGGCGGGAAATTGTTCGAAGTATTGCATTAGCACTTTCTCCCGCCTTGTTGGGAATATCGCCCGCTTCGGGGCACTGTGATAAAAGCATGGTAGCCAGCCGATAACACCCATTTTTTGCAGCTGCCAGAGCAGCAGTATCACCATTCGAATCCTGAGATGAGAGGAGCATGGAGATCTGATGAGGAGGTAGAGTCTCATTTAGTTTATCTATCAATATTTGGCAGTAATATCGCGAACTCTTCCACTTGCCCTTACTCCTAGTTGTGGCGGCAAGGTGATTGAAGACAGTCGCCCCAAACCAGTCTCTGAACATGATGGTCTCTTGCAGAAGGTCTGCCAACTCCTGCATAGTCCCTTTTTCATAATTGTTGGTGAATAAAACCGCGCGAACTAGCGGGGTCTCGTCATGATTTGATAACGCTTTCACATTCGCGCCACGATTTATCAGGTCACGTACAATGTCCAGATCACCCATGGAGCACGCCCAGTGGAGGGCAGTATTTCCATGATCATCGATGGGCCTGTCAACTTGGAAATTTGCTGGTGGTTCTGGGGGCAATATTCTCGTTGCTGCAGGGGCATCCCCCACAGTCATGAAATAGTCCAGGAGCTGGTCACCATAGATGATATGCTGTTGTTCGAGAATGCTGATATCATTCAATCCACGCTTACGTTTCCGCGACTGCGTCGAGTGTTGGGACATCGGAGCCATATCCTCCTCTGCAATCATGGAAGATGACTCCATACTTGCTTGTGCAACCGATTCGTCATCACGTAACGACGGGTTAACAGCAGCGAAATGCTGGTCTTGACTAAAGCTTGCTTGTAGCGGCTGGGTCTGGATAGGTTGCTGTTGTTTCCTTGGAGAAAACGACGACTCTTCCGACACCAGCCTCCTATTGGGGGCGACATTTTTGTGCACCCTTGGTCTCGATGATGCAGCCGTTGTATGCTTTGGAGCCGGTGGAGGGCTCCTATCCCCAGCCACGAAGTCAAAAATGGGTAGGAGCTTTTCAAGAATCCCGTTCCGTTCAGCTAGTTCTCGACCCTCTTGAAGCGGCACCCATGTTCCTGAACACAATGGTCAGCTCCATGTCGCATTTACACGATGCGCACAGTGGTCCGTTGAGCGACAGTTGCAAAGAGGAAATACCTTGATATTTTCCATAGCCTCCCTGGACTTTTTCGTGGACACCTTTCTGTACCTCCCTCTCAAGAATACGGGTCCTTGCGGGTTTATCCAGACCCGCCACCTTCAGAATATGAGTCGCATTGATCCAGTCGTCTGCGCGTCGTCGCATAACATTATCAGGGCCAACTTTGAACTCATAGACGGGTACCTTTATATGATAAAGTCAGATGTTAGCCATATGTCCACAAAAACAGTCTGAGATAAAATAATCTAGAAAAGGACTCACACTGCTGTACGTAGCAGAGTAGATTTTATTACCCCACACACTTGCTGCAGTCATGGTGGATGGATGATGATGATGAACGACAGTCGGGCTGGCAAGTGAAAACGTGGGACGGAAATGCACCAATGGAACAGCAGCGGGGTCGCAAAATGGGCGGTATGGGACGCTCTGGCATTAGAGAGCTACGAGCGGCATAGAAACCAAACAAATTCAAACGAACAGCTGCAGCGCATTTCCCCCGTGATGGCAACTACAATGCGCAAGTTGTTGGGAGATGATGTGATTTGCGGGACAACGGGGAGAACGCGTTTCTCGCGTAAAGTGGAAGCTTGCTGGCTTGGGCCCGGAACCAACTGCTCCGGGCTCCGAGAACGCTAAGAGCCGCATCACACAGGCGAACCACAGACGACGAGAGCAACAAGTCATTGGCTTGCTGACGACACATATACAAGTAAATATACCAAGGACACGGCGATTTTTGATGAGAGGAATTCGGAAGCTGCAACCATGGCGCATGCAGTAATCGGTTAAAGATGTCCGGCGTGAGTAATTTTCCCCCTCAAAAAC